CAATATATGGTAAAGAAACAATATGTTTCTTTCTTTCCCAAAATGCATTTGGTAGATTACTACATATAGTAATCTTAAATTTATCTTCTATTTGAGTTATTAACCCTTTTTTCATTTTAATTTGTTCTTCTATTTGAACAAATAAAACTTCTTCTTTGAGAAAATTAATTTGGTTTTCTTTGAGAATAACTTTTCTAACTTCGTTTAATAAACGAGTTTGAGGATCAGAAATAAATTCAAATATTATTTCATTGTTTTTATAAGTAGCTTTAATACCTTTAGTATCTACCTGAACAATAGGCATAATGTTATATGTAAAAAGGGAGTTCCTAATATAATGTCTTGCGATAAGTTTTTAACAAGAACACAAGGAATAGGAATACAAGTTCCTTGAACACATATGTGAGCATTCGGTAATTTATATTTAACATTTTCGATTTTATTTAGGTTAAAGACTTTCTTATTTTTAAAAATTATTTTATATTACGTGGTTGTTTTGCTAGAATATTTCTATCATGAATAAGCCTATAGAATGCAATACTTAACTACTTTTCCCAGAGTGTCAGTGGAGTCTCAGATATTTTCTATTAACTAGTTAGAGTGTTGGAGGAATCAGTTGCTTGCCTTTAATGGGGAGTCATTACAGATGCATTTCTATAGGACGTTATTTTTATCTTCAAATCTAGATGAAGTTACAAATGTATGCCATCCAAGCTATAAACACTTATGGTGCATCCATAATCTTTGCACTAATTAATCTTTCGGCTTAAACTACAAGTCAAGGATCAGTAGTAAAAATAAAGCCTGAGACTTTGGATGAAATGAGACTAATTTTCATTGTAATAGCTTGTAGAAAATATAGAGAATGGGAGGAGATTCATGTGTGACATGATTAATTCGCTGAAGAAGTATACATTATTTTCGGTCATAATTAATGAGTGTGATTGTAAGCTTAAGACTTGGTTTGGTAGTAGGGGAGGTAGAGTAAGGTAAGGGGCAAAATTAAAAACCTCTTTCGTAGGGAGAGAGGGTAAGGTGAAGTACAATAAAGTGAGGTGAGGAGAGAGAAGATGCAAAATTAACTAGAAAGTGAAGAGAGAAAATCCAATTTTGAGGGACACAAGAGTGAGGAGAGAGAAGATGCAAAATGAACTGAAAAGTCATATACCTCCCCTTTCTCCAATCAAGCAAGAACCACAAAAGGAATATCCCCTACTTACACCTCATTGAACCTTAATTTACCTTATCAATCGTTCTTTTACGTAATGAAGACTCTCGATTCAAGTATGTTGCTTCTTAAACGTTAATTTATGGTGTTTGTTTTCTGCCTAAAGTAGGCAAATTCATATTCTATAAAACTTTGAGATAAAATTACGATTTCTTCACTATGAATAATCCAAGAAGAATTTACCCACACAGATAATAATATGTGTTATGGCTCTTCTACCCCTATCTCATAGAGGTTAAGATTGGTATTTGAGGGGACCAAAGTCAACTTGCACCTTAGTCGGTCTTAAGTTAGCTCAAATCACCCACCTGGAAAAACCTTAGTGGCCTTGTCCGTAAACTACGACACTATCCATTTGAAGTGTAATTCTTAAATTTATTTTTTTCCCCGTTAAACTTTATCCCATGACAATAAAGCTGTTAGGCTCTTTTTTCTTGTGTTGGGGGTGGCGAGGGGTCCCTTCATTTTAAAGAAAGGAAGAAAGATAGAGTTTCTGATTTTGTGCATATTTTATGAGGCTAGCACGAGATAGATTTTATTTCTAAATTGGCTGCTATATTCGTAAAACTGACATTATAGACATGAAACCCTTCAAGCAAGAGAGATATCTATAGAGTTTTTAGTAGTGTCAGAAATCAGTTAAAAAAGCAAGTCTCCATTAATGTAAAAATATAAATATATTTCGCTATTTGTAGGAGTTTTTAGTAGAGCTAGAAATCTATTTAAAAGGTACGAATTTTAGGGTTAAGTTATTAACATGTTTAATATTTTCTTTCTAATAGTTATCCAAGAATTAGTTGTTTTTCCTCTCTTTATGTCTTCATCTCCTATGTTACATAACAAAAAACTTCCTCACTAACATGAATGAGCTAGTCAACTAGTACAGCTGAGAGTACGAACCCTTATTGCTTTAGTAAGAACCCTTATTGCTTTACTCGTAGAATAGTTGGGGCACATTTTCTGTCTTGCATTCAAGCACCTGTACGGAATTAGCTTTATAAACATTATAGTTTGTTGCAGTGTTATTAATGCGCGAGGCGTAATGCGGGGCACAAAATTAGTTTACGTGCATATGCGCAATGCGCAATGCGATGCACGCACCCGAGTGAAGCGAGACGCACTGCACACATAGAATTTTTCAGGATATAACAAACATGCATAAAGAAATATGTGGTCATGAAACTTCACATAAAAAAAAAGTCAATGACTCAAAATAAATAATATAAACTACTAAAGTTATAAATAGAGTCTTAGTCATAATACTAACACACCCAAGTATTCACTAATATCAATGAAAATTAAGTAGTCTACTAAAACAAAGCAAATAAGTAGCAAGATAATAGTCTAATGACTCTAGTCATCCTCAACAACATCATCATCATCCTCTTCAATGGGGATATCTTCCTCCTCAGTTTCCTCTTCTTTGTTAAACTCTTCTTCATCTTCCGACTCTGAAAGCGGTTCCCTCTTCCTCGATGATGAACCATTACCACTCGAAGATCTCAGACCCCTACAATATTTATGAGTCTCAAATAATATTAAATGAACAATATAGCAAGCAACTACCAGCAAATATCTAATAATCAACCAAAGCTTAGTGAATGTTACTGTTGCAGCAAGCTTAGGGCAATCAGTTCTAACTCAAAGTCTCAAACAAAAGAAAAAGAAAGCAAAAAAAGAAAAAAAGAAGAAAAGAAAAAGACAAAGCAAGAAAAAGAAAAAAAAAATGAACTGCCACGAAAAAAGGGAACATAAGTGTAGAAAAAGAAGCCATAGTTGTTATTTAGGATTTGGGTTTAAATGTTAACCGGGTCCATACCCAATAACCCTTAAATCTGTTTTAAAATCTGAAACAACGCGTTAGTTCTTGAGGCTATCGCCTCCTACAAGGTGTTGGGCGCTTGCAAGGCGCACACGGGCGCACACATTATTGAAGATTAGCGCCCCTCGCCCAATGCGATGCGCTAATCTTGTGCGTCGAAGCGCCCGACGCTCGAGGAGCGAGCCCGGCAGCGTTTTTAAAAACACTGCTTTGTTGGCTACTCTCAGTGTTTCAAAAAGATATAATCTAGTTAGCCTAGACTCTGGCCTAAGCTTAGGTGGTACCTAGGCTGCCTGCCTAGGTCTAGGGAGTGCCTAATGTAGCGGAGATTGCTTATGCGAACTTCCCTGCTTAGATATTGGTCATGATTTCCTCCATTCCTACCTCCACATCATCTAACCTCCTCCCTGCGGCCTTCGCCACCAACTACGAACACCTTCTCCAAGTCCTCCGACCTTCAACAAAATCTCATCCGTCACCACTTAAACAAAAAAAAAAATCCTCGTATGCCTTATGTCTAGGCACCAATTTGGCACTTAGTTTGCATAGCGCTTTTGATAACATTGATTATAACTAAAAATTAAAAAAATAGGAAATGTGTAGGCCTTGTCTAGGCTTCCGCCTAGGTACTAGGTGTTGGGTCCAACGCCTAGGTTGCTTAGCGCTTTTGTGACCTTGGCCACTCTATTGCTTCATTTACAGCCAAAGTGTTTTTTTTAATGTTTAAGCTGATCTTACTAAGATAAGATTATTAGATCTAAAGTGTGTAAATGATTTTACATTTGTTATTCTTGAAAACACTAACACAAGTTAAATATTTAGGGCAACATTCCAAATATTAGTACTAGCCATACTTAAAGAAGTATATAAAAGGGTACTTTTAATTCTTCAACTGTTTTTTGGGAAGTTCACAAGAGGATGTTTCCATGATATTTTCACTGTTGGTGATGGAGGGAACACCAGTCACATGCTTGAAGGATGAGAGGTATGCTCTAGGAGGGATGGATGATTATATTAGTGAGAAAAAGAAGAATATAAATAATAACCTACAGTCACATATATTGTGAATGAAATGTTTGTGGAAGTAAAATGATTTGCGAGTGCAAGAACATGGAACTTTCACTTTTTTCTAATTGTTATTAACATTTAATATTTTCTTATGCAAAAGTTCATGGATGCAATTTGTTATTTCAGGCTCCAGGTCTATTCAAAATTACTTCAAATGTAAGAGGAATGCATTCTTTATATGATGGTAGAAAAATCTTTTGACTATCTTGTGTTACATGGAATTTGATACCTGACTCGAAATTGTCAAGAACCCAAGCTGCCCAAACAGTTTCAGCTCCTTTGTCATTTTTTGTTTGTTACTTCTTTTCTTTTACGAAACATTTGCTTACATAGATAGATGTCTTATCTTGCGCTACACCGAATTTGATATCTGACTCAAAATTGTAAAGAACCCAAGCCACGCGAACAGTTTCAGCTCCTATGTCATTTTTTATTTGTCGCCTCTTTTCTTCTGCGAAACATTTGCTCACATAGATAGATGGCTTCTGATTTTTGTTTATTTTCCTCTTTTATTCTTAATTCCATGATCTACTTTCTTTCCTATAGAGTACTGTTTCTATATGCTCAATATGGTTCAAAAGTTAAAATTTTTAAGGATATAACTAATTTTAAGTTGTTGTCTGGGAGCATTATGACCTTAAATTAATTTGTTATATTCTTCTTTGTAAATGCACATGTACATGTTTACATGTGTAGATATTTACCTTTACTTGTGTAAGCTTTTCATACTATCAGCTCATTGAGCAACACAGAACTCCGTAAAGAGAGGTGACTAAATATTATATGCCATTATCTCCATTCCCCTTTTTCTGCAATTGTTCTACTTGACTTTAGTAAAGTTTATATAAGATTAAAACCTTTATTCTGGTGTCTATACTGCAGGTTCAAGCCGTTCTGCTGCTGCTGGGTGGTCATGAATTGCCCCCTGATATTTCTGTCATGGCACTGCCGAATAATGTGAATCACAGGGTATGGAATATACATGATCATAATTTGTTTTAACTTGGCACTTGTTTTTTGACTGACTCTTCTATCTACTCTTTCTAACAAGCTTTCAAATGATCTTCCACGACCCTCCATGAATCCTCACAGAATAGCTTCCATTATGCGGTATCGGGAGAAGAGGAAAAACTTGTGTTTTGATAAGAAAGTACTCTATGACGTCAGAAGAGATGTTGCTTCCAGGTACACAAAAGAGTTTCTAGAGTAGAATAGTTTTTTTTTTAGAATTTAGCACCCAACTTTTTAAAGAAAATGGGGAATCTTAGAGTCTTATCTTTTGGCATCTGATCGAGATGTGGTGAATCTGCTCCTGATGTACTATGAGCATTGCTGGAATGAACTGTTGGTTCATGATGTATGTGGCAGGAAAGGACTGTTGGTTCATGATGTACATCATGGTTTGATCTCTATAGTTCAAATCAAAGATTCTTGTTTACAGCCTTTTTGGAGTGAAAATATGTATTCTGTCTTCACTAAGAAATTTGAATTTGTAATGTTGGGTATTTTACTCTTTATCCCTTACGATGATTTTGTTCATTCAATAATGCAGAATGAAACGACACAAAGGACAGTTTGCATCATCAAAGACAAATCCTGAGGAAGCACTCTCACCCTCTTCAAGTGGTGATCATGCTCAGAGCAATTCTCAGGAGGAATCAGTTTCAAGCTTGTCAGTTGAAGCTTTGATGACATAGTTTCTTTTCCAGTTCCTTTTCCAGTTTCTAAGCACCACTCAAAGTTTACTCTAAAAAAAGCACAACTTAAATCTTGATGATGTCCCGTTGAATCTATATTACAGTTCTGAATACTGAAAAGCTCTTGCATCCGAGAACAATAGTTAATATTTATTTATTTTTTTATTTGGGAGAAAAATAGGATGGAATCTCATTGCCTCAACAAAGAACCCAGCCCAACCAATAGTCAATATTTATGAAGATGATGTCTTCTTATGCTATCATTTTTTTAGATATTTCCTCTTCTCCAGTCCCCTTCAATTTAAAATTCTAGCTGCTCTTCTGATGCACTATTTTAATGTACTGTATGGTCTGTGCAGTTGCCAGCACTGTGGAATTGCTAAAGGTTTGACTCCAATGATGCGTCGTGGACCAGATGGGCCTAGAACTCTGTGCAATGCTTGTGGGCTGACGTGGGCAAACAAGGTTCAGCATTTTCCCCCCTTTCTAAATTTGTTATCTCACTGATATTACGTCTTGCGGCTTCAGTGCTTCTTTGGGATAGACACAATGTACACTGATATAGCTTACCTTTAGAGTGGATTGGCCAGTTGTCAACACATCTGCTTTATTCATTATGGTTCTAAGCAGACCGTAGGATAGAGTCAGATAAGAGAATTAGCCATTCTCAGCAGACAACGAAGTTATACCCATTGGCATATTAAAGCAGAACAGGCTAATTCATATCTTATACCTCACAACGAAAGGGATAGCAAGTTCTTCAATATCTAAATGGAGATGCAAAGAGTAATAACGTAATTTTGTTTATAATCAACCAATTCATGTTTAGTAACATAATTTCATTCATACTATCAGCATCCTTCAGCTAAAGTTTACAAAGTATCATTTAAAAAGGATGAAATAGCATTAAGTATCTCTGTTTATTTTGGTGTTCATTTCTCGAATGTAGAATGTTGGTCCAAGTTAGACTCACCCGTATCATTTCCCATTTTCAGGGAACATTCAGAAGTCTTCCTCAACCTGTAACTTCTGGCTGCCAGCAGTCTCCCATTAACCCAACTGACCAGGTAAGCTTTTGTGGGAACTATAAACAATATATTAGAAAATTAATTCGATAGAGAGTTCTTTATAGAAAACCAATGAGAACGTAGCATGTGTCTCACCATATTTTAATGTTAGTGATTGTAATGTTTTGATTGCACTGATGCAAAATTTAATGGAAAATCTTGATTGCACTGACATTGTTTGCTGATCGTACCGGTTTTAATTTGGGCGTGTGACGCGTATCATCCTCCCTATTGATGCTTATGCATTCTACTTTTGTTCTACACTTGTTCTTGCAGAGTGATGCCAATGATTCTGATATTAGTAGCAATGGCCAAATGTTTTCTGCAATATCAAACGGGCCTGAGTCCAGTATGATTGCTAGCATAGATGCAGCCATGGAGTATGCTGATTGTTGAGGGCATCAGATGCTATGAAGATAGATTTTGAGTAGATAACCAATGTTACAGTGTGTTTTCTGTTCATAGAGATCACAAGAATAGCCTCAGAAGTAGAGTTTTACTGTAATTAGAGCCTTCTAGATATGCCCCAAGTATATTCATTTATGATTTTGTCTATTAACTTTTTCAACTTTTCCTCGTCAGGCTAAACATTTTTGTGCGGCAGTTACCTAAATTTGTGGTGGTAAAATCATTACTAGCAGTGGGCTACAGGTGTTTACTGATGATTATAGACGACGGTCTTTTCAAGACCACCAATCGGGGGGATCTTGTGATTTATCCCATTGGAAAATATATTAAATGAGCAAACCAGGGTCTAGATCCTGCCTAATTGGGTTAGTAATTAGAGAGGGTCAAATTATTTTAACGTTTATTGTTTATTTCAATTTTTAATAGATAAATAAGGTAACATATGATTGTCACTATTATCTTGGAAAATGAGTTTTCTTCAGAACGGTCCACTATTGTGAAAACCACATGGGGTAGTGAAAATTATTTGTGATCGTATTTTATCAATCGAAATGGGGATAGAGGTTAAGAACACGGATAATTGGATCCTGTACAATTACCGTAATCAGTAAAGACTTGAACCTAACACTATCTACTTGTATCATGTCTCTTCTATGTTGTCAAGATATTGAACTTCTATGTTATAAATTTTCTATGAAGAAAAAGAGTGTTATAAATTGTCTTCTGAGGGCCTATATTGTTCGCTTTGATAAAAACATGGAACTTGAAAGTAACATGGAAAATATTTTTTTTTTGTATTTCCATGGATATCCTGTAAATTATCCTCGGTTTGTTTCGCATGGAAATCATGGAAATCAAGAATAGAAATAGCTAGCTCATCATGCGGTGGTCACCTCCTGTGTTTGTATGAAAGAAAAAAAAAGTGAAGATATCTAACACGAGATATCAAGAATAGAAATAGCTAGCTCATCATGGAAATCATGAAATCATTTACTGCATTTCTCTAGTTTAGTTGGCAAAAAACAAGTATGGAACGGTCACCTTAGTGAGGTTACCATCCAAAAAAAAATTCAAAGCACATTGCAAGCCATTGGGGGTAATCATACCTGATTTCATGTGTTTTCAAAGAGCATTCTAACTGTCACAAGTTTCGAACGGTAATAATTCCAAGCAATGTAAAAAATAAGTGTGAACAACAAAAGCAGATTCGACCATTATGAATCTTGCTCAAAACAAAGAGATATTAAGAATCAAGAACGACACTAACAAATGTGGCAATGTTGGCTGCATATCTTAATTTTTCAATTGTAAAGTACCATCATGGTATGCCTCGCCAATACATTGCTACTATATATAGTAACTTGTTGCGTATATATTAGAAATTGATAATCATCATTGCACCAATCAAAAATCACATGAGAATCAAGAATATGTTGTGAAAGACACATGAATGAATCCTGTAGACCCACAAGTTCAAACAAAATATATGCATAACATAGCCACTATTGATGGGCTCAGTTAGGCCATCATCATCGACATATGCATAACTCAAAATTTTAAATTACAATTGTAGGCCGCATACAACTACGACTATTTACAAGTTCACTTTTATTCAGTTTTCATCCCATTTTAGCGCTATACGAGAGGATTTGGGATTTCCCATCTTAGTATCTAGAAAATGTATTGTGAACCAAACATGGGTGATAGATTTGCCTAGACAAAAAAAATGGTCCAATGTGGCAATGTCATGAGAGCATGGAAAATTGATTTTTATTTTTATTTTTTTTATTTTCCGAAACAAACAGGCCCTAAAGATAACAAGGGTGGCATTAGGGGCACACCCCCAACCACAACATCAACCATACCACCTCTCTCATTTGTTATAGTGTACCGGGCCCCACATGGGATTTTAAAATTTTAAAATCCCATGTGAGGCCTGGTGTACTATAACAAATGAGAGAGGGTGTGTGGTTGAAGTTGTGGATGGGGGTGTGTCCCTGTCATTTTCCAGGTAACAATTAACTAATAAGTGTACGAATCTCACAAGCCTACTCGCAATGAAAGGGACTGTCACATCTGCTACGTTTTCTTCCATTTAAAGTGCCACCAAATTAATCTATAAGCATCAGACGTATATATAAAGTTGTCTCCTCTCCTCCACTCAAGTCCACGGGTTCCCTCTTTTCCATCGTGGCACTCAACTTTCCACGAGGTCTCATCTGTTCCCATTTTGGTGTTCCTACGCGTCTAAACTCGCAACCTTAAGAAATGAGTAAATTATTCTTTTATACACTTGAAGTGGCTTCCACGGGGTAGCATTTATTAGGCGAAGAGAGAGGAGGTTGTTGTGGCATGTGGTCATGTTTTCTCTGGAGTAATACGTTACAACGTCATCTTCTACATTTATTTCATGAAAAATCAAATGGAGGGGTTTTAAGAAGTTTCACAAGACCGACCATGTGACATATGTCATTTTCTTAAAACTCGTATCAAGATCTATAGCTGCTATAGAGACACATCATCTATTCCGTATTCGGTCTTATAATTTTCAATTCTAAATTAATTTCTCAAAAGAAAAGATATCTAATGGTGTTCGTTGCTACATTAATGATATATCAAAGAGGTACTTTTTTTAAATTGTTGGACTCGAAGATTTGTTATTAACGTAATAGACAAGGTCACTAGATACTTCCTTGTAGAATAAATGTAGAAGGTAACTGTATAAGGTATCACTCATCTTTTCATACTTTCAGGATCATTTATGTTTATACGTGGCAAGTACAAGTTTTCATCGTTAAGTTGGAAAATGGAGTTTGAATCAACTAAATTTATAAAATAGGACATAAAACTTTCAAATATGTACCAATTATTTCTGTTATGTGAGGTTCCGAAATATACAAAATTCTACCATTGGTTAAATTTTTCTAGAGAAATCTTGTGAATTGATGTAACTTGAAAGTATGTGAAGACGTATGGGTCAGTAAAATAGGTTATATCAGTGTAATCATCAATATTACATCAGTACAATCAGTGTATATTATCATCAGTGCAATTACTTGTCTTTTACTAGATATGTGTTAAGGATCTACTCGAGCTGTATGAGATATTTGCCAATAAGCGGTCAGTCCTAGATCAAGTTTGACATTAAATTCCACAATTTCTATACTACAGCAGAGTCTCAGTCAAAACTCAATAATCTAGTGAGTGTTTGTAAATACGAAAATTTGACTTAAAGTTAGGCTCGTAAGTCGTAACTATACTCATGTCGCCTTCTTTCACACCTACCCTTAAGTCGCCTCTTTCTAAAATAGCAGTCAAATCGAGCTACAATCATACGACCCAAGCACCAAAACCTTCCAAAGAAAAAAAAAACATTATAAAAATTAGACACATATGTAATTATGTTTCTACATAATAGCGAAAATTAACAAATCATGTTTGGTCGATAACAAACAGTAGGTGGTGTCACCTACCACAATATAATACCGGGATAGAAAAAACTATCTTCCCCTTAGTGGTAGGAAATTCACTTCTTATATGACTCAGCTTCACCAAACATGGTTCTTCCAAACATCTTTTCACTTCTTTAACAAAAAGTAGGTGGTAGGTGACACCCTTAACCAGCTTGAAGAACCCAGGAGTTTATCTCCTTTTGAACTTCAGACCAGAATTTATTTGAAAGAGAATCTTTTAGCCTTAGCTAGGTCTGAAGAGATTAAATGGAAGCAAAGATCTAGAATCCATTGGTTAAAAGAAGGGGATAACAACACCAAAATTTTCCACAAAGCTGCTTCTTACCGAAGAAGAAAAAACTCCATCCCCCACCTCCTGATTAATGACACTATCATCTCAGCAGAATCTGATATGAAGAAGGCTTTTTTTGATTACTTTTCTAACCTCTTCCAACAACCATCTGAGTCTAGACTCACAGTAGACTGGAATATCCTATACCCAGATGAATCCTTAGACCTCTCTCATCTAGATCTTCCCTTCTCCTCTGAAGAAATCAAATCTGCAGTGTTTGACCTTCATCCAGATAAATCTCCTGGGCCTGATGGTCTTCCTCTGTTTTTTTATCAATCTTTCTAGAATACCTTAGAAGCAGACTTTATAGCCTTTATCCAGAACCTCTTTTATCGCCCACAACTTCTCCATAACATTAATTATTCTTATATCTGTCTCATTCCCAAAAAAGATGGTGCCAACTCCCCTAGTGATTTCAGACCAATCAGTCTAATAAACAGCTCCTGTAAAAATTTCTCCAAAATCATGGCCAATAGATTAAGCAAACATCTTCGCCTCCTTGTAGACAATGCTCAGTTTGCCTTCCAAAAAGGTAAATCCACACTAGATTTCATTCTGTTAGCCCATGAGATGATCATCTTTTGTTCTTCTGGTAAGAAGGAGATATGTGCTATCAAAGTTGATTTTTTTTAAGGCCTTTGATTGTGTCAACTGGAAATTTCTTCTCTCCCCGATGGAAGCTAGAGGGTTTAGTCCTAGATGGTGTCTATGGATTAAACACATCTTTTCTTCTTCCAAACAAAGTTAAGTACTTTAAGCTCAATATCATATACACACACATTTTATTGGTTTCTATATATATATATATATATATATATATATATATAGTTTTATATATATAATAAGGTTTCAAAATGTTGTTTAAGTCAAAATATCAAAACTCATATGTTTACATTTTTATGTTTTGGACTATTTTGTAAAATGATGATATTTTTCATTTGAGATGTCCTTTTTAAAAACCAGTCTTTGTGGTATGTTTATTATCATGTCTATAATCATTCTCCAAAGTTTTACATTTTTTGGAATTTATTTGATATTTTTAAACAGGGTTTTAAAATCAGAAAATCAACTTTCAAAACTATTTTCTCATATGTCAGTTTACGGTCGACCGCCACGATCGACCGCGCCTTTGATTTTTCCTACGGAACCATTAGCAACTTTCGCGATCGACCGCCACGGTCAACCATCAGCTCGAAAATTCCCACGGTCAACCGTCAAAATTTCTAGAATTTTCTGAGTCTCGAAAGTGGCTCGCGGTCGACCGCGAGATTTTCACGGTCGACCGCCGTTCACTCCAACGGTCATTTTGTACAAAATCTGATTTTCAATTTTATTGGTTTTTTGGTCATTTCCGTTGGGCTT